TCTAGCCACGGGTGCAGCCCCGCACCACTCGCTGACTGTGGTGTGTCTAGCCACGGGTGTAGCCCCTCACCACTCACTGTCCGCGGTGTGTCTAGCCACGGGTGTAGCCCCGCACCACTCACTGTCCGCGGTGTCTCTAGCCACGGGTGTAGCCCCGCACCACTCACTGTCTGTGGTGTGTCTAGCCACGGGTGTAGCCTCGCACCACTCACTGTCCGCGGTGTGTCTAGCCACGGGTATAGCCCCGCACCACTCACTGTCCGCGGTGTGTCTAGCCACGGGTGTAGCCCCGCACCACTCACTGTCCGCGGTGTGTCTAGCCACGGGTGTAGCCCCGCACCATTCACTGTCTGTGGTGTGTCTAGCCCCGCACCACTCACTGTCCGCGGTGTGTCTAGCCACGGGTGTAGCCCCGCACCACTCACTGTCCGCGGTGTCTCTAGCCACGGGTGTAGCCCCGCACCACTCTGTCCGCGGTGTCTCTAGCCACGGGTGTAGCCCCGCACCACTCACTGTCTGTGGTGTCTCTAGCCACGGGTGTAGCCCCGCACCACTCACTGTCTGTGGTGTCTCTAGCCACGGGTGTAGCCCCGCACCACTCACTGTCTGTGGTGTCTCTAGCCACGGGTGTAGCCTCGCACCACTCACTGTCCGCGGTGTGTCTAGCCACGGGTATAGCCCCGCACCACTCACTGTCCGCGGTGTGTCTAGCCACGGGTATAGCCCCGCACCACTCACTGTCCGCGGTGTGTCTAGCCACGGGTGTAGCCCCACACCACTCACTGTCTGTGGTGCGTCTAGCCATGGGTGCAGCCCCGCACTTTGAGCTATGACTATCGTCTGTGAAATAACAGAAAATAAAGATCCAAAACCACAGTGCTCTATATTAGTTGAATTGAAATTCTTGCAATCGAAAGATTGAAACCCTCAAAACTAAACAAATCAAAAGTCACAAACAAAACATGCACGAACTGAAGTCATCAGCACAAGCTTTCATTAAATAATCCGCTCTTGTGATAGAGCACATACTGTACCTAAATAATTTGTGGAAGTTAAAAAAGCGTCCCCCGGTGATAAAACTGTCTCTCAGGATACCATCAATTGCAGAGGATGTACAGTTTCAGCGGGTTTGACGTGTACAGTCTGCTGGAGGATTTACTACCCAATTTGATGGCATCACTTACTCCCCGGTATAATACTGTTGGTTTATGTGATACCTGGGAAAAGTGCGACTTTTATGGAAGACTAAGAGCTTGATCATATCAACAAAAAAAAAAAAACAGCTTCAAACATACAGTGCGCCGAATGTTTTTGTGGCTGGAAAGTAGAGAGGACTGAGATACCGTATTTCGCGGCTTATTAGGCACATGCTTTTTTCCATAAAATGTCTCCAAAAACCACCCTGCGTCCTAAAAACTGAAGGTCATTGACGGGAGCTGTAAGTCTGGGGTGTGGGTTGGGCTGTAGCTCTACCAGTTACGTCCGATACCGAGCCATTGAAACTAAAACAAGTCATATAAGCCGCGAAATACAGTAATTGTAAGCAATTAAAAGTGACAGAGCAGCAATAATGACCGGAAGTGGCGGAGCCATGAAGAAAACAAAGGTAGCAGGTAACAGTATTTAAAATCACTATTTAATTACCCTGAAACTGGTTTCTAAGGGTATTCCTGACACTTTCCGTGGGATTCTGTTAGTGAACATGATTGATATCTTAAAAGAAACTCACTCCACACTCGGCAATTCGAAATACTATGGATACAAATGAGCTGATCATTTCCATTTATCGCATCCTGGGGCAAAGTCAGTACAAAGATTTGTAAGCTAAGAATGGAGATTCATTTTATCTTTTGAAAAGGAAATAAATTGCCAGATTTGTTTTGTAATGATAATTAGATAACGATGACATTTAGCAGCCATTTATTTCACGGCAAAACAAACTTAATGCTAAGTTACAAGGGAAACAAAATGATGTGATCAGTCACTTAAAAAAAAAATAGTACTGTGGTAAGCCAGACTTCAAATTGACCGCCTTAATAAAGTGTAAACAAAATAAAAGGTGTTATACAGTCTCATCTCTAACAAATTTTTTCACTATTTTGCTGAAAAGATTGAAATTTCGAAGGAAAAACACTGGTTAATACAGACATTTTTAAGATGCCTGAATATCGTAGGTTAGAACTTGACCTGAACAAGTAAACAAGTCGCTCCATCGTATATCTGACAGTACATTAAAAATCAGTCACAAATCAACTTAGTTATTTTCTTCGTTCAATGTTTCAATAAGAAACTCGGTTCCGCTGTTGCTCCCTTTATAAGCTGCAGGTGTGAAGATGGTTTTTCCACCTTGACAAGGTTAAATAAGAAAAAGTTAACAGCACAAAGGACGCATGCGTGTAGCACTATCATCGTGTGAACCTGATTACTCCAAAATAGCAAGCAGGCTCATCACTGATCAGTAAATTGCAAAATAATTGTCAGTTTCATTTGTGGAATATTTAATTAGAAGAATAAATCTCCTTTAAAGTAATACCGATTGGCTTGAGTTAACGAGTCAAAAATATATCAATTAGCTTACCTGATGTGTCAAGTCCGGTTTTCACTTTTAATTTTTCTTCAAGGTAAAAAACCAATATCATTTGATAATTTACTGGGGTGGTAAGTGAGGCTGCCAAGCGAATGTAATTTGAAAATTAGATTTTGAACAAAATAGTTTGGGGAATACTTTACTAAACGAAAGTAAGAGCTCGGGAGACCTCGCTCTTGGTAGGGTTTTGACAGTCGCTTGTCTAGGAATAAAGCTAGCTGAAGGAAGACATCGATGTCCTCCTCAACTTACAGGAGGGAAGAAATTCATCACTTTCCATTTGGATTGAAGTTATGATCCTTAAACAAGACTGACCAAGGGAAGGTCCCGAGAGATGTCAAAGTCCATTTCAAGAGAAATTTGTTGATTTTAAGAACCTAATATTCGTACCCGCGGTAAATGCTTCGTAGATACTTCTGAACTTTGGAGAACGACAATGACAGGCGGTGTAAAGTATGAACTTATCTTACTGGTGACGTGTTGACGGTCCCACGATGAGTTGTTTAACTTTTACTCACCTGTAAGGTAAATGTTAAATATTAATTAACGAGTTTCAGCAGTAATTATACAATTAAAACTACACATTCTGTAAGCAGTTATCGTTTTATTCTCCAGCCTTCACTTTGAAGTATCCCTAGTTATACCTTTCAACTGCTTTTAATGTAAGCCTTCCCAGTTATCCCCTACAGCTTGCGCCTTACTGTAAGTATCCACAGTCATATTCCTCGTATGCACATAATACAGGTATCCCAGTTATACCGTTCACTCGTAGCTGCAAGTATCTCGACAAATACTTTAATTATTAACTAATTAACGAGTTTATTTTTATGCTCTGTAATTAATTCTTACCCTACAGAGTAACAATTAATTACATGGCATAAAATTTAAACTAAGATTATCATCTTTCCGCAGTTGAAACTTACCTTTCCATGGTGGATGATGTGTGGATGACTAGTGTAGCCAGGCGGTGTGGAGTACCCAGGTGGTGCTGGGGCCCAGGTGGTGCTGGGGCACAGGTGGTGCTGGGGCACAGGTGGTGCTGGGGCACAGGTGGTGCAGGGTACCCAGGTGATGCGGGGGGGGGGGGGGGAAGGACCAAGGATCATAAACGCTATTTGTGCTTCATCACTTTGCCACCAACACTTTGCCACCGACACTTTGCCACCGACACTTTGCCACCGACACTTTGCCACCAACACTTTGCCACCAACACTTTGCCACCAACACTTTGCCACCAACACTTTGCCACCAACACTTTGCCACCAACACTTTGCCACCAACACTTTGCCACCAACACTTTGCCACCAACACTTTGCCACCAACACTTTGCCACCAACACTTCGCCACCAACACTTTGCCACCAACACTTTTAAAAAGCACGACTAACATTTTTGTTCTGTGGACTACACGAGGACCATTCAGCCCGCATGTCGTGCATACTTTAATAACTGAAACCCGAATTCAGTTAAGCTTTGAGAAAGAAAGAGTGACGACCCTCCTCCAGTGAACGGACAGCCAGACACACTGGGCTCTGTAAAGTTTCACTTCCATCTCCGAAGCTGTTCATGAGCTGATACCTCTTGAGTTGAGACCTCGACCTCTCCCTTTGAACACTTTATACCTATCATTAATATTAATCAGGCTAAGTACTATTTACCATTGATATATATCTGCAGCATGACTACAGCATACTATGCGATATGAGGCATGTCTGATCAGTTTGTGTTTTAGTGGCGAACAACAAGCTGTATGCCTGAATAATTCAATGACTTTCACTCCGAACCAGTGGAACTGACGCTGAGCTTCCAATAAATGTGATAAATTTAATTTCAGTTTTCTGTTTTGCCGGGGATAATTGCTCAGTTTTTTAAAACTAATTACTCGTTATAACACATGCAATATGTACAGTTACTGTGTGTGAGAACAAACATGTTTACGTGTGTGTGTGTGTGAGAGAGAGAGAGAGAGAGAGAGAGAGAGAGAGGAGAGAGAGAGAGAGAGAGAGAGAGAGAGAGAGAGAGAGAGAGAGAGAGAGACTCTAGTAAACACTCGCATGCTTTCACACACACTTAAAAATCATGTTAAGTATGTGTGAAAGCATGAGCGTTGTTTTTGCTTTTCGAAAAACTGGATATATCAACATTATGCTGCTCTCCTATTCACTACGATAATTACACAGTGGGAATAAAAGCTAACTATATTGGTGTTGTTAGGTGGGAGACAGGAGACACATGACTGGGGACATTACATATAAAGTCCTCGCCAATTTTGTGAGAAGCAATAGATTATATTCGGAACTAAGGTCTACAAGACTAAAAAGATTTCAAGTGACAAGTTCTTCAGTACTTAACTGTTTATAAGGTTTTTTTTCTAATGGTTTGGAGTGTTGTTGGACTATGAGCATGGTGACATGAAGGGATTCAGGGGAACCTAAGGTCTCCCACCTATAGGTGGGAGACCTTAGGAGATGTTGAGATGTTGAGATGTAGAGATGTTGCAGTTCGGGTGTCCCTCTGAACGGTGATGTCAGCAAGCTTCTAGCAAGACAGTGATTGAATGAGTGACGGTGAAAGTGTTTCCTTTTTTACGGATCACCATATCTCGGTGGGAGACGGCCGGTGTGTTAAATAAAATATTATTAGCTCTGTATTTTTTTATGAAGAGAAAGCACTAGACTCATGTGGGCCATTAAGCACAAGATGTGGTGAAGACTCGATCCTGAGAGATATGCACCTGTCGGGGTATGTGCACCAAGAGATATACACCTTTCGATGTATGTGCAATGAGAGATACATACCTTTCGGTGTATGTGTAATGAGAGATATACACCTATCAGTGTATGTGCACTGAGATATACACCTCTCGGCGTATATACCCTACTGAGATGAGGAATGACATAAATGCGCAATACCTGGTTATTAGGGTGAGATGGAGGAGTATTACTCAGCCCTGGAGGCACCGACTCTATGGTCGAGTCTGGTTGGCTAGTGTAATGGTGAGAAAGTATGCGCGGAATGACAATACCCTTTGGCAGATCTCCTGAAGGCAATAGTAGGGAATATTTTACTGGAGTGGAGGGGAAAATAATTGTTCAGGGATTCTCGCGTGGTGGTGGTGAAGGGGTGCTCATGCGAGGTAGTGAAAGAGATGCTCGTGCGAAGTAGTGAAAGAGATTCTCATGCGAGGTAGTGAAAGAGATGCTCGTGCGAAGTAGTGAAAGAGATTCTCATGCGAGGTAGTGAAAGAGATGCTCGTGCGAAGTAGTGAAAGAGATGCTCATGCGAGGTAGTGAAAGAGATGCTCGTGCGAAGTAGTGAAAGAGATTCTCATGCGAAGTAGTGAAAGAAATGCTCGTGCGAAGTAGTGAAAGAGACGCTCATGCGAAGTAGTGAAAGAGATGCTCATACGAAGTAGTGAAAGAGACGCTCATACGAAGTAGTGAAAGAGATGCTCATGCGAAGTAGTGAAAGAGATGTTCATGCGAAGTAGTGAAAGAGACGCTCATACGAAGTAGTGAAAGAGATGCTCGTGCGAAGTAGTGAAAGAGACGCTCATGCGAAGTAGTGAAAGAGATGCTCGTGCGAAGTAGTGAAAGAGACGCTCATACGAAGTAGTGAAAGAGATGCTCATGCGAAGTAGCGAAAGAGATGCTCATGCGAAGTAGTGAAAGAGACGCTCATGCGAAGTAGTGAAAGAGATGCTAATGCGATGTAGTGAAAGAGATGCTCATGCGAAGTAGTGAAAGAGACGCTCATGCGAAATAGCGAAAGAGACGCTCATGCGAAGTAGTGAAAGAGATGCTCATGTGAAGTAGTGAAAGAGACGCTCATGCGAAGTAGTGAAAGAGACGCTCATGCGAAATAGCGAGAGACGCTCATGCGAAGTAGTGAAAGAGATGCTCATGCGAAGTAGTGAAAGAGACGCTTATGCGAAGTCGTGAAAGAGACGCTCATGCGAAGTAGTGAAAGAGACGCTCATGCGAAGTAGTGAAAGAGATGCTCTTGCGAATTAGTGAAAGAGATGCTCATGCGAAGTAGTGAAAGAGATGTTCATGCGAAGTAGTGAAAGAGATACTCATGCGAAGTAGTGAAGGAGACGCTCATGCGAAGTAGTGAAAGAGATGCTCATGCGAAGTAGTGAAAGAGATGTTCATGCGAAGTAGTGAAAGAGATGTTCATGCGATGTAGTGAAAGAGATGTTCATGCGAAGTAGTGAAAGAGATGCTCATGCGAAGTAGTGAAAGAGATGTTCATGCGAAGTAGTGAAAGAGACGCTCATGCGAAGTAGTGAAAGAGATGCTCATGCGAAGTAGTGAAAGAGATGCTCATGCGAAGTAGTGAAAGAGATGTTCATGCGAAGTAGTGAAAGAGATGCTCATGCGAAGTAGTGAAAGAGACGCTCATGCGAAGTAGTGAGACACTCATGCGAAGTAGTGAAAGAGATGTTCATGCGAAGTAGTGAAAGAGACGCTCATGCGAAGTAGTGAAAGAGACACTCATGCGAAGTAGTGAAAGAGATGTTCATGCGAAGTAGTGAGAGAGATGTTCATGCGAAGTAGTGAAAGAGATGTTCATGCGAAGTAGTGAAGGAGACGCTCATGCGAAGTAGTGAAAGAGACGCTCATGCGAAGTAGTGAAAGAGACGCTCATGCGATGTAGTGAAAGAGATGCTCATGCGATGTAGTGAAAGAGATGCTCATGCGATGTAGTGAAAGAGATGTTCATGCGAAGTAGTGAAAGAGATGCTCATGCGATGTAGTGAAAGAGATGTTCATGCGAAGTAGTGAAAGAGATGCTCATGCGAAGTAGTGAAAGAGATGCTCATGCGATGTAGTGAAAGAGACGCTCATGCGATGTAGTGAAAGAGATGCTCATGCGAAGTAGTGAAAGAGATGTTCATGCGATGTAGTGAAAGAGATGTTCATGCGAAGTAGTGAAAGAGATGCTCATGCGAAGTAGTGAAAGAGATGTTCATGCGATGTAGTGAAAGAGATGTTCATGCGAAGTAGTGAAAGACATGCTCATGCGAAGTAGTGAAAGAGATGCTCATGCGAAGTAGTGAAAGAGATGCTCATGCGAAGTAGTGAAAGAGATGCTCATGCGAAGTAGTGAAAGAGATGCTCGTGCGAAGTAGTGAAAGGGATAATCATGTGTGTTAGTTTATAATAGTTTATAATAGTTTTCCTTATGTTTAGATAATGTTTTGTCATTTTAGGTAGGAATTATAATCAGTACGTGTCGGGCTTACATACGTTACTTCCTTTACCTATTGGTAATTGGAATTAGTCTTCTACCAAGAGAAATGCTGAGGACACTTATTGGACAGGAGACAGTAAAATACAAGTACACTGGACCTGTTATACTTACCTGGACGAGGTCTTGGTAACACTTGGTACTTGGGTCCATTACCAGGATAAATGATCCGGCGCCTATATACAATGGGTCAGTTTGACTTGACACGAGGGATGAATACACGGAACGTGACACTGATAGGCTCCAGGGCTTAGTAACTTTCCACTAGGATCCTGGTGTCTTGAGCTGGTGGTGACATCAGCACAGTACGTCAATCAACGTATGTCCTTCTTAATAATAAGAGCTGTAGCCATGTTTAAATGTCATTATATCACTGTAACTGACATTCACTTATTTTTATTGCAGCAACGTTTCGCTCTCTAGGAGCTTTGTCAAGCCGAAACAGTTGGACAAAGCTCCTGGAGAACGAAATGTTGATACAGTAAAAATGTTGCATCAGTCGCACATGTGTCCTTTTACCTAACATAAAGAATGCTGTGTCTATCTTAAAAACCCAGAGAAACTATTAAAGCACACGATAAATGGATGAGACAATGCCTTTTCTACTCAAGAAAATGTCATCAGTTAACCGGGTTCTCTGGATGAGCTGTCACTATATTTGGCTATGTTGTGCCCTTTCTAAATTCTAGTACAAGACTGCTCCAGGGCCTCAAAACTCGGTTTTCCCAGTTTACAATGACCGGCTCATCTCGGTTCAGTGTTTCTAGATTGCTGGAAGGAACATCAGTCACTATGACATTCATAATACTCAAAAATGCTGTTAGACCTAGTGAGAACCTGTGTCTCAAGCTCTCTTACCACAGGTGTCACCTGGGTTTGCAAGTAGCATCTGGCACATGACACTCTCACAGTGCAAATATCATCTCACAAGACAGAAGAGCGCCGTTACACCACCTTTTATGCCACTTTGCAAATAGGGAGGGAGCTGTTACATAAGCCTCTCGGTCACGTAGGAACAAGGAAAGAAAAAACTCTTAAACTTTCTCTAACAGTCTACTGACAGTGGAACAAATTCCACCGCACTATTTATAATTACTATGCATTTAAGATTATATAGTTAGGTTTAGGAAAATAGTTGATTGTCACAGTTTTCTAAGGAGAGAGAGAAGATGCAATGTGTCTTATCCTCCCAGCCACTTAAAAGAGGATTTGAGTAAATATTTTTAAATGTTTAAAGTGTAAGTCGAACTCCCATTATCAAGCTAAG